CAACTTCAACATTTTCCATGCAGAGTCTGCTGGAACTGGGAGCCAACTTCTCCTCTGGGAAGTGTGTGGTCTCCCTAGATTTGCACATCTGTGATCTCCAGGAAAAGGGTGAATCAGACCAAAAGTGGAAAGGAAAAATCTGCATTTATAAATACACCCTGTGCCAGCACCTGAATGAAAAAAAGACTGGCAGAAATGCTGATGTTGTAAATACAACCAGCCAGCTACGGAGGCCCAAAGGCGGGTGAGCATCTCGACATGCACACCCACCTGCAGCATATTGAACAGATCCAAAGCACAGGGTTTGGATAAAGCTTTCCCTGGCTCTCCCTGATGTTATGGAAGGGACAGCTCGTCACAGGTCCCTTTCTAGGATGAAATCCTACTGGTGATGGCTTTTGGTTGAGCAAAAGGTCCAGGCAGCCCTTGTAGTCTGTAACACACCTGGGGCTGGGAGTGATGACCCATCCTTGGAAGTGTCCAAGACCAAGTTGGAGCAACCTGGGATGGTGGAAGGTGTCCCTGCCCATGGCAGGGGGAGTTGGACTTCGTGCCCCATAAAAGTCCCTTCCATCACAAAGTATTCTGTGATTCCAGGATGCCTCTCATGGGCACGGATGCTGGGAGCTCTCCCATGAACTCCACTGCCATGGCTCAGCAAATGGGCTCAGGGCAGCACTTTGCAAAGCCAAGCCAGAGCTCTGGGAGAACACAAGGGGTCAGTGGGATCCTGATATTCTCATGTGAAATACACCATGGCTTCATTCCTTCTTGGGATCTGTTAAGGCGCAAGGGACTGATGGATCTTTCCCTCCACTGCTTGTGTCCCAGTGGATGCTCTACTGTCAACTAAGAAGCAAGTTTGAGGCACTTCTTTAAGAAGCCAGGTTAAAATAACATATTGAAAATCCTGTTTTACACTTCCAAAGTTGAATGTAGGATCCATGAAGGGAAAACTAGTGTCTGGGTAATTTCTGGTGCTCCCTGTCATTATCACTCCTGTCTAGAAAACAAGCTGGACTTTGTAGCTCCCTCTTCATTACATTATACAGGAGTCCACCAGTGCTTTGAGGTTAAGAGGTGGATCTTCAGAAGGTAAGACTGAAGACCAGAGGAGAGTTTTGTGTTTAGACCACAAGACAGGTACTGAGGGCCTCAAATACCTCCTCTGGCTCTGCCTGCTCTCTCCCCATGACTGAGCCCAAGATCCTTATCTACAGGAGGGCAGTAGTATCTCCTCTTACCTGTTCAGGTCCCGTGACTTCAGGCAGGGACTGTGCACAGCACAGGACCTTCAGACCTGCTACCACGCTGTGAAGCCCCAGGATGAGGAGAACAAAGCCTCTGTCAGTGCCAGGATTCAAACATTTTTCAGGCCATCGCAGCCTGACTGTGCTAATTGTTATCGTCGTCAGTGAGAAGTTTGCCAGAGGTGTCCAAGCACTGCAGTCAGAGAAGGGCCCCCGTCTTCCTCTGCTGGCTCCGTAGCAAAGCCTCGTGCTCCTCCCAGAATAGCAACTGTGCAAACCTCGGTGCTTCTCTTCCAAACCCATCTGAATTTTTAGAAACTAATTTGCAAAGCCTCGGCCCCTGTGGCTACAAGCGAAGCCCGGCTGTCTGTGCAGCCTCCTCAGCCACGGCACCTCCGGGCTTTTCTCAACGCCACGCTGTGACCTCCCACCTGGGGGGAGGTGGGGGATTTTTACCTGGGAGAAGAAAATCCTGCCAGAAGACCCTTGGGATCCTACAGGGGTTGGGAATGGGATCACTGTAAGCAGAGGTCTCTGGGGGGAGCTCCTGACACACGGCAGATCCTGGGACCCCATTTTCCAGCCGCCTGACCCCACGCTCTCACCTGAGCTCAGCAATAATGGCATTGCACAGCAGCCAGTGGCCCTCACCAGCACCACTGGGATCAATTCAGCTGGAGCCACGGGGGGGTTAGTAAACTCTACTGAGATCTTTTCCCCATTTCCCATATCCATAAACCACACAGGTGGTATTTTTTAGGTATCCGAAGCCACAGCCTTCCTGGGGAGGGCACAAAGATGAACTCCCATCACGGTGAGCCACAGAGCATCTCCCGTCCAGCTCATCCCTCTTGGGATGCTGGTCCTTGAGCTGCCAGGAGGACACCAGGTGGTGGGAAGTATCTGCACACCCACCTTCAACCTGCTCCCCTTCCATTCACAGCTTGGATTGAGTAAGGGGGAGGGATTAAACTGATATCCCTTATCTCAGACCTTCCAGGGATTCCTGCACCAGCTGACACAAAGTGCTCGCTCTGAAACGAGTAACACTTGCAAATAATACCTTCCACGGCCAGAGGGATGATGGCACTTTGAAAGCAGATAAAATTTGTTGTATTTTTAAGCAAAGATAAACACTGGCTGCCTGAGATTAAACCACCGCTCCAGCTCTTCTCTGCTGAAACCAAACTGGCACGTCTATGGCAAGGAGCACTCGGCAAACAGGATCAGTCATCACAATAATTCCAGCACAGAGGATTAAACCACACAACTGCTGCAAGAAATGCACAAAGCAATGGCCAGAAATGCTGTGTGGAATTTCAGGGTCTCCCTGCAACCCCTCTCCTCCTTGCCAGGATGGTGAAGAGAGTCTGGATTAACACCAGTATAAATTCAAGTGGTGGGAAAAGTCACCACTGGTTGTCAGCTGGAAACTAGAAATGGGCTAATTTCAGTCTCCCTACAATTTTGTTCTATTTTCCTATTTTTAAACAATTTAGCAGACTGAGAATTTTGCTTAATGCCTCCCCAGTCACACGAGGCCACGCAGCAGTTTGACACCCACGTTTGACAGGGACACACACACACACACAGGGAGGGAAACCCTCAGGCCCTGTGCTCTGTGTAAAATGCACAAATTTAAAGTCAATTCCTTAATACATCCATGAGTATTTTGTCACAGAGATCACTTTTCCCATCAGCAGGTTTATAGCCACAGTTTGGATTCCTATAAGATTTACATAATTAAAATGCTTCGCATTTTGGGTTTTTTTTCGGTTTTTTTTTTAAGAAACTTTTTCCTATAGTTTCTGAACAGAACCCCCCACGTAGGATCTCACCAAGCAAAGGAAGATCTCCCAGGGCCCACGTAGGCATCAGGACAAGAGCAGCACCTACAGAAAAGCAAGTGCCTGCGGCCTCTGCGGGGCCGAGGCTTTGATTTCATCACTGAAACTCAAGGCAAGAAGAAGCACCAAAATAAACAGCTCCATAAAGCAGCGGGAACGCAGCGAAGCAGTTGGAGGCTTCTCCAGCGAGAATGACCTAAATCCAAGAGGCATTTGTGCAGATGCTGCTCAGCTCCACAACACCCCAGCGGCCTCCAGGACAACCCGGGATGCACCAACAAAGAAGGAAGCGAACCTGGGAGAAGACTCTTAATAAAGTCACTGAGATTTTTTTGGTTTTAATTTTCCCCCCCCCCCATCCCCCAGCGGCTGCCCCACGCCCAGGGCTGCCAGGAGGGGGGCCCTGGGACCCCCTTTGCCGGAGCGACCCCGCAGCAGCCGGGGTTATCGATGGAGATGTGTGTAATTGCCCTGTCAGGCAGCTGAAAGGCGCTCGCCTTTAGCTGATGCCACTTCAAAATGAAATTCTTTCTTTGGCATGGCTATGTCTGATATGCAGGCATCAAAGGGGAGGCAGCAGGTCGCCGATGCCCCAGGCCACGCATTTCCCTTCTAAAAGCAGGAATGGGAGTGTCAGCTCCCGGCCGACGGGGCCCTGGAGACCAACACCCATCACTCCTTCGAGGGTTCCTGGAAAGATTTGAGGACACCCCCCTCCCCAGCACCCAGAGACATCCACAGGCTCTCCAGCAGCAAAAGAGGACTCTGTGGGCCTGCACACCGCTGGGATGGAGGGGTGGAAAAGCCTCCCTGGCACAGAGGAGGTTGAGGGCTGGGTTTTTTTTTTTTTTTGCTTCCAAGAGAAACACAAGGCTACGCTCGCCTCCCCCCACAGCTCCCATCTCCTCTCTCCACCTGCACTCTTCAGGGAGCCAAGGCTTTTGGCAAGCTTTCCACTGCAGTTTTTATTGGTTTCAACTGAGCTGCCCCGTTTGGAGGGTTGCAAAGCTTCAAGTCATTAAAGGAAAAGAAAAAAGAATAAATAATAATTTTTAAAAAAAAAAAAGCATCCTGCACCCTCGCCCTGCTGCCCCTTCCCACTCCCACGATGGCTGAGGGCACGAGCCCCACATCACCCAGCCCAGGCACAGCTCCCTATCCTATTTTCCAAGCCAAACACAGCCCTTCTAGTGCATTTGAGCCAGAATTTTCAAGGCCCTGGATGCCTCCAACTGTACCTGCTCGGCTCTGATCACCTTCCTGCTCGGAAGCAATTTAGAAAGGACACAGCACAGGTAGCTATTAGCTAACACATATTTAACTGCTCCAGATATCTTTTTTTTTTTTTTTTTTTTTTTGGCATTGTAATGGAGTGATTTGATCTTCAAAGGACCCGTGGAAACCTTTGAAGCTTCCCCATCTCCAGTGGGGAGGAGGAGGGGAGGGGAAATGTTAATAGTTTTAAAACCTGGGGAATCCTGAAGTCGGAGAAAGGGTATAAAACCCAGTGGGTTTAGCATAAAGCCCTCAGGTAAATCTTCACCTTCTTTTCAAATGCATTTTTGGTGGGTTGCTTTGCAAAGGCTCGGGCCAGGTTAGCAAGGTCGGCTCTATTTCCCAGCGGCTCTTAATCTCCAGGGACCCTCATCTCCCACGTGGCACAGCCCCGGCACCGGGGGATCCGCGGAACCTCGGCGAGAAATAGAAAGACTAAAATTTGCAAAGCCTTTAAGTGGAAAAGGAGGGGGGGGGGAGTAAAAAAGGGGGGAGTGGAGGGTGGAAATACAAGGAGAGAAGATAAATTCCCGGCTGCACTCCCAGCCTCAGCACAGCCTCAGCAGCACCCTGAGAGGCGAGACACAAAATGCGTTTACCTTTAAAATAATGACTCATTTTATTTTTTTCTTTTAATATGTAGTTATAAATATATTTTGTCAAAATATATGATCATTATTGTCAAAAACATTTGCACATAAAGTCATAAATAAGGTCAAGGTGAACGTTTAGTTTAGAGAAGAGTCCAGCTATAGCAAGCAGTTCTGGGGTGGGACGGGAGGGAGAGAGAAGGGGAGGAGAGGGCGGCGGGGAAGGGGGGTCAGCGGCACCCGCACCCCTCCACCACCATCTCCTGGTAGTTTTTCAGGACCACCTTGTCATACTCATCCAGGTAGAGCATGGAGATGGCGCTCAGCTCCGTGGGCACGCAGCAGGCCTTGGGAATGCTGGAGTTCACGGAGTTCACCAGCGTCTGCACGATGGCGTGGTTCGTGGAGTTGAGGTGGTCGGCCAGAGGGAAGGGGCAGTCCCCGTGGCAGTAAAACGCCTGGTACCCCGGGGGCGCCACGATCCAGTCGTTCCAGCCCACGTCGCTGAAATCCACATAGAGGGCATGGCGGCGGCAGTTTTTTTTGTTCTTGCGGGAACGCTGGTGCTTGGGGCTCCGCCGGGCTCTGCGGGTCAGCGCGTGGCCTCGCCCGTCGTGCCCAAAAGTGACCAGGAGCGGCCTGAGCTGAGCCCAGTCCCCGCGCCCTTGAGGTAAAGATCGGCTAATCCTGACGTGTTTGCCCTGATGAGTCTGTGCGTGGTGGAGGTGGGTCACCTCGATCACCAGCCCGTGGTTCGGCTGCTTGTCCTTGGTCCACCGGATCACAGCCGGGCTCACATCAAAGGTCTCCCAGCGCGTCACGTTGTGGTGCACCAGACGCGTGTCCAGCAGGCGCGTAATGGCCTGAGCGCGCTCCGACAGCGGCTTCATCACTTCGTAAATGTTTATCCGGTGGAAGCCCCCCTCCCACGCCTCGCTCGGCTCCTCCACCTGCTCCCGGTACAGCCGCAGCTCCGCCGAGGAGATCACCTCGTTTTCCGGCACGCTGCTGAGGTTGAAGACGAAGCGGATCCGGGGCGCCTCGCTGGGACCCGGGACGGTCTCCAGGTGCTCTGGAGGGGGAGCAGGGACGGGGAAAGGAGAGCGGGAAGACAAGCAAACAAGAGCACGTCAGGCTTGGGGGGCACTCAGCCACAGTCCCCGCTGCGGCCACAGCACACACATCCCCCGCGCTTCACCTGCCCGGGGCCACCGGCTCCGCTCCGCTCCCCCGCGCATCCCTCCCGGCTGCAGCCGGAGCAGCTCCTCCTGCCCCGGCACCGCTCGCCCGCCCGCGCCCCGACCGGGACATCCCTTCCCATCTCGCTTCCCATTTCAGAGAGGTTTTTTTCCCCCTTTCGCTCTTCCCCTTTTGCCTTTTACCCCCTCCAGTCGCTCCAAAATCATCCCCCCCCGCCCCGGGCGAGATGCGGCGCCGCGGAGCACAGAGGTGCCTTGTTACAGGGGGGGCAGGGGGAGAAAGAGAAGCAAATTCCAACGCAGTAATGATGCGGCTGGATTAATAATTCAGATTTAGTTTGGAAAAGAAACATCCGCTAGGAAACATTTGGATCAGATTACAAGGGTCTATTGAATAAACCATATAAACACACAGCTGTAAGTATTAAATTTGAGTCGGGGTTTGGGGGGATTTTTTTTTCTTTTTTTCTTTTATTTTTTTTTTAAGAGTAAAAGCAGGCAGCAATCGCTTTGATAGTTCAAAAGAAACACTCCAGGGGCGAGATCCCGCCCTCGCTTTACCCCCGCATCCGATCCAGAGCCATTAAATCCACGCGAGCCCAGGGAGTGACCCCGAGGCAGAGGCACCGAACGAAACTCGCTGTTGTCAACAGAAGCAAAAGCACTTCAAAATATGGTCAAGCTCGGGTTAAGCACAGGATGCTGGAAAAAATACAGCGCAGCACGCCTGTCACCCACACACGGCAGGCTGGGGGGTGGTTTTCCTCCCATAAATTTAGGGCCGGGCACGTCCTGCTTCTAAAGGCATTTGTGAGCTTCCAAACGCAAGGAAATCCCGATCGCTACCGGGGCTGGGAATTTACCGCCTCCCATCACTGACCTTCATGGTGGAAACTCCTCACGGTGTTTGCCCGGCTGGTCGATCGCTCAGGGTACTGCAGGCTAATTTCCTGGAGACTTTCCTCCTCTTCTCCGGACTGGAGTCGATAGAGATCCAGCATGTAACTAGGAATGACGGCTGACTTGCTGGGCTGAGGCCGCCTTCGCAGCCCAAACATCTGCAGCAGAGTTGTTTCGAAACCCCGCAAGAGTTCATGGCTTTGGGCAGAGCGGCGTCCGGATCCGGCTTGTCCCTGAAGCTCTGCCACTTTCTTCCTGCCGGTCTCGGGGATCAGGCTAGCATGGTTAGTACCTCCTAGAAGGACTTGGCATAGTAGGATGACCATCAGCATTCGGTTACCAGGAATCATGGTGTCTCTGGGGTGCAAAAAAACGCGACAACAAACAACAAGAAAAGTCAGGATGAGAAGCAAAGTTCCCCCCCCCCCCTTCTCTTCCGAATAAACTTTAAAAAACTAATAAGTAATAATAAGAATGATAAATGGTAAAAGGACACGGGGAGCAGCCCCCATTCGAGCGGCTGCCGGGGCAGTGACCAGCCCCCGCACCCGGGCTGCCCGCAGCCCCCTCGGGAAGCGGGTCCCCGGAGCATCCCGTCCCGCTGTCCCGCAGCCCCTTCGGGAAGGGGGTCCCCGGCGCATCCCGGTCCCGCAGCCCCCTCGGGCAGGCGGGTCCCAGGCGGGTCCCCGGCGCATCCCGGCCCTGCAGCCCCGCCGGGCCGGGACGGGACCGGGAGAAGCGGCGACGGCTCCCGGCGGGGAGCGAAGGGGAGCGCGGCTGGGCGCGATACGGGTTCAAATCCCGCCGCCGGACCCCGGGGAAGGGGGAGACCGGGATAAGAACAACACAGAGTTCTTTAAAATAAAATAAAATTAAAAAAAATAAAAATAAAAAAAAAAAAAAGTAAAATAAAAGCCCCCGCGCTGAAAACCAAAAGCGAGGAGCGAGGCGGAGAAAGAAGAAGAGGGCTGTACTCACTGACAGCAAGCAAGGCATATCAGCACAGTCCATGATTCTGGAGAGCCAGCCCGGACCCAGCGCGCCGAAAGCCCCGGGGCAGCGGCTGCCGAGCGCCTCCCGCGATCGCCGCCCGGCGCAGTGCGGCCGCCGCCGCCGCCGGCCCCGGTTTTCTGCCGGCCCCGCAGTCACGTGGAGCCGCTCTCTCCGCCAGCCCGGCCCGGCCCGGCCCGGCCCGCCGCCCCCGGCCCGCCCCCGGCCCGGCCCGGCCCCGCGGGGGACGGCCCCGCACCGCCCCGCACCGCCCCGCCCGCGGCCCCAGAGAGAAGCGGGGACCCCCCCGGCGGGGCCGCGGGACGGGCGCGGTGAGACCCCCGCGCATCCCCCCCACCCCGCCCCGCTCAGGTGCATCCCCGCGGGACGCTCCCGGCCCCGCTGTTCCCCGGGAGGTCCGGGCAGCGCGGGGCTCCCCGAGGGACCGCTCTGGGAAGGGGGGGGATCGGGAAGCGGCTCTGCCCCGAGGAGAAGGGAGGGAGCGCTTGGGAACGAGGAGAAGCTGCACGGGGAAAGGGACGGTGGCAGAGAGTGGATCCCTCCTGTGCTCCCACCGCCCGAGAGTCTCCTCCCCGGGGTTGCCAGGCCTAGGGGTTATCCCTGCTCCCTGCCATGGGTTCCCACCCGCCCTCCAGGTTTTCTCATCCTTCTCCTGCCCCTTCCCTCCCTGGCTGCCTGCACAGCTCTCTCCCCCCTCCCACCAGGCCGGGTTCCCAGACCCCCACCTGGATGTGCAACTTTCCAAGGGTTGTGTATGGCCACAGCTGGCCAGGGGGTATGGACAGGGATCTCCTGGAGGAAGGATGCTCCCTGCCCTACAGTTCAACCCCAGCATTGCCCTGGGCCAGCTTTGGGGCTGAGACTAAGAGCCAGACATCCCAAGCCTTGAGACTGTTCCCAGGCGGAGTCTGAGGACAGACTGGTCTCCCAGTAGGGCACATCAGCTGGGCACACTGGGGTTGATGTACCAACAAGGTGTGGAGAAGGGAGCTCCGGGGGAGGACACCCTAACGAAAAGTGATGGATACCACATACTTTGGGGACATGGAGTAGACTGAATGACCCCACAATAAATGAAGCCAACTCCACCAGGGCATCAGAATCTTGCCCCTTTGCCCTGCTGGGGTACCCCTTTGTGTTGGGCAAACTGTCACCCACGGCGGGAACAGCTGGTTAATTTATGAGGCCAAAAGATGCGGCCGTGCAGTGGCCATGGGAACTCCGAAGCTCATCAATTAACCGCAACCAAAAACCAGCTCAGAAACGATGACTGTGAACCAGCCACGTGGCCACAAACCACCGGGCTGCTGTGCCCAAGTGTGCAGCGAGCCCACACCAGCACCTCGGCGTCCTTCCAGCGCTGCCCCAGAGCTCACACACCATCCCATCACAGACGCCTCCTTTTCATATTTCACTTTTCTTTTTTTTTTTTTTTTTTTTAGCTCAGACCTGCCCCATGCATTAGAAAAGCCCAGGGATGTCACCGAAAGGACACGCACAGATAAAAGGCAGTGCTGACACTGTAATATCTCTGAGTTATTCCTATACCACTCCGAGTTTAAAAGAAACATCTGTTAGCAAGGTATTTGGACTATGAATCCATCAAAATTTGTGAAATATTGCTATCGCCATTTCAAATGTATCACACTGTGTGTTATTCTTAACAAGTGAAAACAATTTTGGGAGTAGCTGCTGTGCAACTTTTTAAAGTTAAATAACATTTTCATTGAAAATACTCCAGTCTATAAACAAAGTTTACACGAGGGCCTGTATAGCTCTGAAACAGACCTCTGGATTGGGAAAAAGCAACGGGCTCCCTCTTTGTGGGAGCAGTTTTGCTCTTTGTCTGAACACCTCGCTTGGGTTTTTGTCGGGATCGGGGAGCGGCCGTGCTGGAAATGTTTCTCCCCGAGGAATTCAGTCCCACGGCGCCCAGAGCCTGCTCTCTCCTAAGCCACCCCGTTAGACCGAGATCCCAAAAATGGCTTATGTAACGCTGGTTAACTGTGCCCTGCGAGGAGGTGGCCAGCTGGGGCCAGAGAGCCAGGGCAGAGCGGTGTGGTTTGGGCTCTCGTAGGAGGCGAGAGCGTATTTGAGTAGCTCCTTGGTTACTAAGAAGTGTTAGTCATGGGGAAAGCTGTAGTATTTATTCCGTAAAATGTAAATACATAACCCAAACCACAAAGGAATAGCCATGGATGGAAATAGTGTAGCATTCAGAGGGGGAGCCGAGCTGCCTTTTTCTACAGAAGCTGTATTTCCTCAGCCCCGTGGAGTGTAATTCACCTTGAACGGAGCTTCTGCTCCAGCCCGGGGAGTTACACATTGGCTGAACTCAGTCCAGGCACACTAAACAACCCAGTGTGTTATATATTCCAACCAAAAAAAAGGGATGCCAAAACGGAGCTAAAAATACAAATGTGGAAGGTTTGAAAAGCAAACACTGCTTAATTCAGCGGTAGATGCAACTTGAAAGACTCCGGACATCAAAAATAAAAACGTTGTGTCTGCGCTCAGGGCAAGGCTCACCTCCCTCTGATTACAGGGGTGAAAGGAGGGTCAGGGGGGTTCTTGTCCATGACCCAGTCCCAGCCCTACTCGGAGTTCTGCTGCCGGGATTTTTCCTCTCTGTCCTCTGTGAGAAACCTTCTGGGAATCCCTGCAGCTGGACAGCAAGGCCATTGGTCTCCTCTGGAAGCAAAGAACCGGGTCATTGGGGACCTCACCCTGCGAAGGACGGCCAGACAAGGAGGTGATTCATCACCCGCAGGCCTTGGCTGTGACAGAAGACTTTGCCGGTGGCAGCAAGAAGCCCAGGGAGGGACCAGCAGGTCTCCTGGAGCCCCAGTGCCCAGCTCTGCTCACAGAGGTCACCAGCTGAGGGGCAACTATTTGTTCTCCTTTGTTTCAACCTGGTCATCACGGATTTGCCCAGCTGATAAAATCCCAGCCACGCACACACCTGACCCGTTTCCAGGTTTTGTGCGCTCAGGACCTACCAACAAGCACTGCAGGTTGATGTTCAGCACCTCTAGAAATTAGGCCAGTTCTGTTTACAAGGAAAACTTCTCCTCTAATGGCAGCATTTCAGGAGATGCCTCTGGTCTCGGACCTTCCCAAACCAGTTCTTGCATCCTCTGTTATTTTTAGAGCTGCTGCACCTTTTTTTGGGCTCTAAAGTTTGCAAACAACCCGCCTTGAGGAGAGAAAAAAAAAAAAAAGAAAAAAAAAAAGAACTTGTCTCACCAGATTTGTGCTTGAGCAGAAACAAACCTAAAACCATAAATAAATAAATAAAGTCATATGTCAGAGGCTTTTAATGACCTGAATTACAGGAGGAGATGCCCATAAGTGTGCTCAGATCAATTCCCTCCTACCCTTTCCTTTCAAATGCCTAAGCTTGTCAATTAAAACAAAGGGAACTGAGCAAACAACTCCAAGGGATTACGTTTTCCAAAGTAGCTCTTCACTAAAGAGCTGGGCTACGACTGGTAAAAACAAGTGCAGCTGCTTGAATGGTGAAAGGAACATTTTTTACAACCACTCTGAGATTTTCATGGTTTCTCTGAGTGCTTCAGAGCTGGCCCGTTCTACCAGAATTTTCTGCCTCCTCTTGAATAAATAAATTCATACTTCTCCTAAAACACAGGACTGCACCAGGCTTGGACTCTATTTCTGCTTTACATTAAAGTGTCTCTGCTGAGGTGTCAGGACCATGTCTAGAACCACTCCTGAGCTAAGAGGAGAATCAGGTTCAGCACTGCTGTTTTATTCCAAACAGGTTTTTTTGTTCTTTTTTTTTTTTTTTTTCTTAACAAATCCCTACAAAAACACTGTGTGGGAACATTAAAATAATGCAGTTCTAAAAAGGCAGTCTTTGGTAATCAGATACATGGCAGTCGAAACAGTAGGATTGCCTGCTCTTTCCTATTTTTAAGTTTTTAAGGAGGATTCTTATTGTTTTGAGAACGCTATTAAAAGGTTGAGCATCCCACCCAGGGAGAATCTTAAATTGCTGTTATTTTGTCACTATTCAAAGATCCCCAAGACTGAGAAAGGCTAGAAATGTTCACACAGGCAGTGTCTGTCTTCTGCTGTAAGACTCTGAGGTCTCTGCTGATAAATGTTGTTCCTTTGGGCATGCTGGTGCCTCAAAACTAGGAGGTTCCTTTCAGGTTGGAGGTTCTTTCAGGTTGGACACCAGGAAGAATTCCTTCATGGAAAGGGTGGTTAGGCATTGGAATGGGTTGCCCATGGAGGTGATGGAATCACCATCCCTGGAGGTGTTCAAGAAATTACTTGGTTGATAAGGTAGTGATGGGTCAAAAGTTGGACCTGATGATCTTGGAGCTCTTATCCAGCCTTGATGATTCCGTGGTTCTGTGATTAGGGAATTGCTTCAGCAACACGACTCATGAAACGAAGGCAGAACCATTTTAATGGTCTGTTTTTAATGTTCTCCTGAAGTGTGTTAGAAACACACCTGATTTAAAATCATCTACACTTCCACTGGTTTCCCCAGTCGATGTTACAAGAATAACACTCAGTGATCTCATGCAGGTTTTGGAAAGAATCCTTACCTTTAGCCCACATTCCCTGTATTACTCCCCACTCCATCCGAGCCCCATCCCTGAGAAGCAAGGTGGGGACTTCCAGAAGGCAAAGAGCACATTCCTCCTGCTCTGAAACCGTGGCTGGTCCTAATAAAGACCCTCGTTCCTAATAAAGACCCTCATCCCTCAGACGAGCGCCATCCGGCCATATGGCCATGGCAGATAAGCAGATTGGGTTTGGATCTGATGAGTCACGAATACTTCTGGAGAATACCACAAGTGCTGGCAGCTCCCTGGCCTTGCAAACCACTCCAGTGTGTCTCTAGTACTGATACATGGCTCTGTCTGAGTGTGCTGCTGCGACTGATATTTCTTCACAACCGCAAGGCGCCGACATTTGTCTTTGTCCTTTGATTGCAGCTCGAGATCTGCCATCAGCAGAAGCTTCAACGACCTCAAACACTACTCCAAGGTGTAAATAAGCAGAGCAGGACATCTGCTGCAGAAACAGTTCACACTGTTACACTTT